TTTTATCTAGTTATTTGTAGAGAATTTAGTCATAATAGGTAATTGTGTTATTTTTCGTTTGTATTTTTTAAGAAAAAATAGCTGTAATTGTTTTCTTACATTTTCCAGAAAAGTTTACATTACTGTAAAGAGAATGAAATTATCTTTAAAATGACGTATCACAAGCCATACTATACAATTTAACATAAATGGTGGGAACCTTCTGGAAGGGGGTAAGAGGAGGGGTAAAGGAGGGTAAGGGGAGGGAGTAAGGGGGATAAATGTAAACATTTGTTTACACATAAAAAAATTACACAAGGAATGAAGTAGGTATATGTGAACTTTACCTAAATCTCACTATTAATCTAAATATCTTGCTGTTCCGGGACTTTTGGGACGCAGTGTATACAGGATGTTCCATTTAACATTCCCGCTGCCAATATCTTCGAAATGAAGAAATTTCTTTTAGTTCCGGGAACTGGGGTTGTTAGGTCTCTCGAATAGCTTCAAATTGCAGTTAGTATTATTAGTTTAAATCATTCTGTGTAGATGTCGTGGCGATACTAAAAAAATTTTTATTCCTGAACGTGGAAATGCGCTCCATCTGAAAGATCGTTAAATTTTGAGTAATTTTTGGAATATAATTGATTGTTTGTCAGTTATATTTTAAAATAATATTTTGTCTCAGTGCGATTTAAATAAAATAATAAATTTTCCTGTTACATCAGACATTGCATATTGAAGTCGACATGTCTCGAAAACAAGTAAATATTGAGAAGAACTTTATATTCCAAAAATTACTCAAAATTTAACGATATTTCAAATGGACCGCATTTCCACGTTCCAGGAATCAAAAAAATGTTAGTATCGCCAGGCCATCTATACATAAAGATTTTAACTAACAATTCTACCTGCAATTTGAAGCTATTCGGGGGACCAAACAAGCCCAGTTCCCGGAACTAAAAGAAATTTCTTCATTTCGGTGATTGGCAGCGGGAGTGTTAAATGGTACACCCTGTATATATACAAATAATTGTCTTTGTACAAATATATGGATTCCTATGTTTGAAAACTACTGTTCCTANACAAATTATTGTCTTTGTACAAATATATGGATTCCTATGTTTGAAAACTACTGTTCCTAGAATAACAAAATTAAAAAGAAAATATAGTAAGTTGAATTCTTTAGTGGCCCAGAACTGATTTAAAATGATTCTTTTGGTTCCTAAAGAAACATTTAAGTAACTTAACAAATAAATTCTTACCTCACTGTCACCGTCTGGTCCCGACAATGTAGTATTACTAGATATTATATCAGCTATAACCTTGTTCAAAGCATCTTCTACCAAAATTGACAATCCGTGTTCTTGGACATTGAAAATGTTGGCGACGTTTTTGCATAGTAACTCACTAAATCTATTGCTCCAGGTGTCGTCGTTTAACATTCCTTCAACTCTGAACTAAAATAATCAGTTATATAAGAATGACATACAGGGTGATTCACAACATATCCAAAGAAACTGGGAATAGATGAAATATTGAATCAATATCGTAAAAAAATTGTAAAATCCTTATAGTTTTAAAATTATTGAAGTTGTGCAATGCGCGATCTTTCTCTCCACGTGGTTCCAGGCGATTCGGAAAACCGAAATCCGATTTTAGTATTTACGTTTTTGCGATAGTGTTTATATTAGTTTTTCAAATTTCATTGTTGTCATAGGAACGACTTAGAAGTTATAATTGGAATTTGATTTTCCAAGTTCTTTCTTCGAAGGCGAATAACTCCACAACGAAGTCCGATAGGAATTTTTTTATAAAGTACTACAACTATTTTCACCTCTGTATAACTTATATTTAACCTAAATTGTAAACAATTGAACTCGTAATTCTTTAACAAATTAATATCTCAAGTATGTATTTTCTATATTTTTTTATCAGTAGATAACAGAAAGTAGCATCTTGCAAATATAATTTCGCTGTCTTTTGAAAGTGAATTAATCACCGTTCGATTATTTTCAAGTTTGAAATGATTTATACGTGTGCAGACATGTATCTGTTTTAAATTTACAATAAATCTGTTATTACCATAGTGTTTTTTAGAAACTGATTTTTGTAGAGGCACATTGCGAAATGGCTGCTTTAACTAGAAGAATATGTATTTGAAATGTGTTTTTTGCCTTGACTTTTTATAGAAAGGTATTTTTATAGGAACAATCCATTCTAGGATTGTTTATTGCTAAAAGAGCTGACCATTTTTTTAAGAATTGTTTTAATCTGCCTGACATGTTATTTAAACTAAAAATACGAGAGCTAGCAATGAAATATATATTTTCTCAAAAGAAATTTAGTAAAAAGATAAAAAAATATTTCACACTAATACTATCCTACTCACATTTTCAACAATTCATATTGTCGTTTCAAAATTTAATATTTTCTAAATATTCCGTGTGTCGTATATAATTTTGTTCTCTTAATATTTACTAATTTCATTTACATAAAAAGGCCAAGTAAAATGCAGAAAATCTTTCTATCGCAGATATTTTTACGTAAGTATTAGTCTTTGTCAAGGGTAATATTAAACAACGCAGAATGTCTCCTTGAAAGAATATTTTATTTAAATATTTCAAAATGTCAGTTATGTGTTTTTGTATTGATAATATTTAGACCTATCATTTTTAATTTCTATTTTACACAAGTATTAATTACTAGACGTTTACTAGATATTGTTGGTATAATTCAAGGCAAGTAGGGGCATGTAGATCATACAGTAGTTGTTGCCCGCAATATCATCGTTAAAAATCTTCTGTATGAGGTTAGATATCTATCGTATACAAATATGTTTGATAAAAATAAATAAAAACATATAAATATTATTTCTTCGTTATTTTGTTTATATTGATGTATTCGGTTTACCTTTGCATCGTCAAGATGCATTTGCATTCCTGTTATAGTCACATTTACTGGCACCAATGAAATCGTCAAGTCTCCTCCAATTGTAAGATTTGTTAGTTCCACGCTGAAAGTTATATTAAAAGTACATTGAATTATTAAAACTGCTTAAAATATCACCTTAATCTACTTAAATATTAATTACACGCAACTTACGTACTATTTTTATTGAATCTTATAAACAAAATACATAAACTAATTAAGAATATGTTCTCGACCATCGTGTGCTTCCCAGTTATCTGGAAGTTTGACTCTTCCACTCCTGAAGAAATCTAATTCATTGGATTCCCCTGTCGTTTCGGACAATCGGGTCCCACGTTGGGCGCCATGTCGTCTTTCAGCATTATTTCTTTCCCTATGGGAATTACTAATTTAACCGGCGTTTTTATCGAGCTTCCCATGTATTATCTGTGGTGTTAGAACTCTTGTCTCATGCTGTCTGAGGCCTTGGAAACATGAGCAACGATCTTATTTATTTTTGCATTTTCGCACTCGGGTACACCCTTGAGATGACATGGATGTAGAAGCTTTTAATTGAGCATAGTTGCACTAAATAATTTTTGTATAAATTTTGGATTTATTGAAAAATTGGGTATTTGATTCGTAATTGATTGTATACAGGGTGGCAGAAAGTATGGAAACCCCTGAATAACTCGTTAGGAGTGCATTTTCTTGAAAAATTACAAATACAGAAGTTTTAGGATTTTTCCCTGGCTATTCAATGACGCCCTTGTATTCGACCTTGACCTTGACCTTCAAGGTAATTTCAAGGTCAAACTTTATTTTTCAAATGGAAACCCCAATTTTTATTGCGGATTTGGAAAGAGCAGGAAATTTTAAGTCCAAAATTGACAATGATCTTCAAGGTCATATGTAGGTCGACTTCCAAAAGTCTCAGCACGGCAGAACTTTCGAAGAATGCATTTTGGGAAAAAATGTTTCAGACAAATGTGTAAGGATTTTTCCATGGCTATCTGATGGTGACCTTGGATTCGACCTTGAATTTGACCTTCAAGGTCAATTGAAGGTCAAGCTCAGTTTTTTAAATGGGAACCCCTATTTTTTATTGCGGATTTGGAAAGAGCAAGGTCATTGTCAAAGTCATGGTCAAGACCAAGTTTGGACGTAAAATTTCCTGCACATTCCAAATTCAAAATATACTCCTGGCGAGATATTCAAGGGTTTCCATACTTTTGTGCCACCTTGTATAACACAATTACACGTACTACAGGTATAGTCCGGGCGAATTAGTTTTTTTTTTAAATCGGACCTACCTCGAATTTTATGGGCTTAAAATTAAGTAAAAATACACAGAATAAAAGTTTAAATTTGTGTATTTACAGAGGTCGAGATGAATCTCTTGTTTATAGCAAAATTAAAAAAAATAATTGCTTTTTTCAGTTTTTCGCTTATATCTCCGAAAATAAGCCTCTAATCAAATGAGGTATACTTATTGAATTTGTTCCTGAGGAAATTTGCTACAAGGCTAGGCTTTTGCGAAAGCTCACATTTTTTTTATATTGCAAAATTACCGGTGAAAAAAAATGTGGTAAATTTTCAGAATTAAATAAAAAGACCAAATTTGACTGAAATTGGATGAAACTACAGGAAAAGATTACTGTTGGGGTGCTCAACAAATACCCGCAATCCGGACCCCAATTTCAAAATTATAAAGTTGAAAGCGCAAGCGCGTATATCTTCTGCCCAAGTCAAGATATCGAAATTCGGCAAAGATGGATCTCGTTTTTGTGTAAATTTCAGATTTTTAAGTTGCAAAATTAAAAAGTTATTAATGAAAAACCAAAAAAAAACGGTAACTAGGGTCCTTATCTCGGCGGTTTTTTAATATACAAATTTCAAACCAATTACATCAAATAGTGCTTAAAAAAACGTGAATTTAAAAAAAAAGTATGTCAGTCCGAGGAGCCGAGATAATCATTAAAATGGCTCCATAGCATTTATTCATACGATTTACTTGATATCTAAGGGGTATAAAAAATAAATGGACCAACAAACTTTCCGTCAACATCCAGAATCATAATCTGCAAGCTTCTCTGAGCTTAAAACAATTTACAGAATGTGATTCTCACATTTTGTACACTCAACTTCAACGTATAAAGGAAGTCTTCTACTTTACAACTAGCCCAAGTTTATTGCAAAATATTAAATAGAACTGCCACAATACCGTTTTAATAAAAAAATTATCTCGGGTCCTATTGGTCGGATTGAGACGCTTTTTTTAAATTCATGTTTTTTTAAGAACTATTTGATGCAATTGGTTTGAAATCTGTATATTAAAAAGTCGCCGAGATAAGGACCTTAGTTACTGTTTTTTTTTTTGGTGTTTTGTTTGTAACTTTTTTGTTTTGCAACTTAAAAATCTGACATTTACACAGACGCGAGATCATGTAAGTAGGTACCTTTCGATCCCTTTTTACCAAATTTCGATACATTGACTTGTGCAGAAGATATACGCGTTCGCATTTTCGACTTTATAATTTTGCAATAGGCCGCCATTTTGAAATTGGCGGTCCGGATTGTGGGTATTTGTTGAGCACCCCAATAGTTATCCTTTCCTGCAGTTTCATCCAATTTCAGTTAAATTCGTTCTTTTTATTTAATGCTGAAAATTTTGCACATTTTTTTCTTCGTCGCCAATTTTGCAATGTAAAAAAAATTTTGCGAGATTTCGCAAAAGCCTGTCCTTGTAGTAAAATCCCTCAGGAACAAAAACGATAAGTATACCTCATATCGATTAGAGGCTTATTTTTGGAGATATAAGCAAAAAACTAAAAAAATAGAGAAATTATTATTTTTTCTTTTGTTATAAACAATATGACGCTCGACCTCTATAAATACACAAATTTAGACTTTTATTCTGTGTATTTTTACATAATTTTAAGCCCATAAAATTCGAGGTAGGCCTTATTTTTGAAATAGGCATGTATTTTGTCTAATTCGCCCAGATTGGTATCTGTCCCTGGTGAATTTGTAAGGTACCAGGGTTGACATTCGATCCCAATTCTTGATGGATCGCAGAGGTTCTGCATCACTGCAGCGAAGTTCGCCTTCGGTTGGGGCAATTTGCCTTTTTGTATTTTGCCCCATTTTGAATTGAAGTCGCCTAAAACGGTTGATAAACTTGTAATCTAATGTGTTTCCGTATTGCGGTTCTTCAGTTTTGAATTTCGCATTTTTCGAAATTCGAAACTTCGGTGATTTTTTCAACTTTGTAGCGCGTCGTTAATGACTACTCTGCCAACAGCGTCTGTAGCGGCTGTGTTGTTTGAAGCGGCTAGGCGCTTCTCTGAGAACTTCGGTAGAAATTTTGGAAACATAGGCGAATATTGTACCTCTATGCGCGTCTTCTGCTTCTAGTGGAGGGTAATTTAGGTCTCATCAGGCATGGGTCTTTATCTTGGCCGGGATTGGACCTGAATAAGGTGGATAGAGACGGCATATGTAGATATTTTTTTCTTATGTAATTCAGTCTACATTAGCGTATGAAATATTTTAATTTTTACGCCAATCCTGCACGTTCTTATAAAATTCCACACAACTAATCAAATTGTTTATAATTAGTATTTTCTCTAAGCATGAATTACTACAAAATTAAATATTTCATGGATTACCTTATTTTCCCGTTTCCATAAATGTGAAGTAGAGATACGTTTAGCAAAATAACGTCTGTCACATAATCCAAATCCAATTTGAAATCATTGATTGTTAAGACAAACTGAGTTGGTATAATATTAGCGGCATAAGTTATATTCAAATCGAAATTCTTAAGACCCTGCATATTCACGTTACTTATATTAAGGTATCCCCTGGAACAAAATGAATATGTACAATACAGGGTGATTGAACCGACACAGGGCAGGTACGTGACAATTATGGCGTTTTAATGTAATTTACATCTATTGCAAGTTGCTTCGTTTAACCACAACATGGCATTAAAATGTATGCATTTTAAATGGAATTTATTATGCCAATAACTATGTTTTGCAATACGTTTACTAAATAAGAAAAATGCCTCTATTCTTTTGAAGGTAATGTTATAAATGTGAATATTATCAAATTTTTGTTCAGGCAGTTTGTGTTAGAATAAAATATGTTCTTTATTTTCATTACACTTCGGTGTCTTAAAAAGGGGTCCTGTTTCTATTCACTTGTTCTTAGAAATCTGTAGTTTTGGGAAGAAGATTATAGAGGTACTTACTTTTTAATAGAAAAAGGAAAATCTTAACATTTATATACTTACGAAACATAGTCATTGTCTGATAGATCAGGATTTAGTGTTTCTATTGTAATCGGTTCTGAAATGTTATTCCTTAGATTTTCTATGTACTCATTGATTGTATCTGGTATAGCTGAAAATAAATTAATAATAATGTAGCTGTTTTAATAAACATTGAACAGTTGAATGCGATGAGAATAGGATAGAGGCATAAAGTACAGCACAGGTGCCCAAACCTCTCGTAATGGACTTTTTTGTTTCGGGCTGTATAAAAATATATCTTGTACACAGTGTTCCATCTACTACTAGCGATGATATGAAGGAAAGGATTAGATATGCATTTGCCACAATCACCCCAAATATTCTAAGGAATGTGAGAATATCATTTGAAGATAGAATAAGATGCTGTATTCAAGAGAGTGGTTAACAATTCGAACATCTATTAAAATTTTTCTTTGTTTCTTCTAAAAGTAAAATTTTCTTTAATAAATATTTTTCATGTTCATAAATAATTCAGTTACTTACTACAAACATATTTATACAAAATTAATAACTTTTTATAATTATTCGGCTTATAAAATAATATTTTTTATTAGAAAACTTTTTTGAATATTTTCATGATAATGATAAAAGGAACTTTTACTTTTAGAAAAAACAAAGAAAAATTTTAATTGATGTTCGAATTGATAACCATTCTCCTGAATACAGCATTTTATTCTATCTTCAAATGATATTCTCACTGCAGCTCTAATCCTTCCCTCCAATATCATCGCAAGCAATAGGTGGAACATTGTATACAAGATTTTTTATATAGCTCGCAACAAAGAAGTCCATTACGGTGAGGTCTGGACACCTACGAAGTACAGGGTTTCCCATAAGTATGCGAAGCAGCATTATTTTTTTTTTTTAGTTCCAATTGACAATAAAAAAGGTATCACTATTTACGTATATTTTGCAGTGAATTAGTTAAAACAAATGAACAAATAGATAACATCTTATTTTCAGCATGTACCTGCTAGTACTGTAGTAATAAAAAAATGTACTTACAATCCTGGTATCCAAATGAAAATAACATTGAAAAGAAGAAAATTGAGAGCTTCATTTTGCCACGGTTATATACACTGATATAGTAAAACTACTGCTGCATGAATTTCAGTTAATGCTGCTAATGTGAAATAAAGTATGTGGAATTAATCAAAGTAGCAGATCTTTCTATTCGAGATATTAATTTCGCTTTATCTTGATAGATAACAGGAAATGTTTAAAATATCTTTATTATGTAAAAAAGTGAATGTGTTACTATAGCATTACAAATACAATATAACATTTTCGACGAGGAATGTGTACAGTTTTGTAAAATATCTAATTTAATATAACATTACTTTACGATCTCTTAAAGAAAAGCGTTGAAATATGAATCTAAAATGATGTCAAAACAAAAATATCACAGTATTATAACAGAAAGGCAAGCACAGAAAGCAATGTGTTCGTATATTTTATAGTTTGCCATGTCGAACATCTAATAGTTTCTATTTTGGAGAAACGATTGGGGATAAAAGAATCAAATTTGGAGTAACTATGCACAATTTTTTGTATAGAAAACTTATTGGGAACCACTGACTTCACTGTAAAAGAACGTATAGCATAGATCAACAGTGCAGTATTGCCACTGTTCTCTAAAAACTTTGAATTGTAACTATTTCGTTGAAACAAAAAGAAAACGTTAAATAAAGAGGCATGTTTCTAGATGATAGACCAAAAAAACTTTTAAATACAGTGTGGTGAAGTATTTTGTATTTTGTATGTTAATATATTTTATATAATCTAAGTTGTATAGAGACGGTTGCAGAGCAAAAAAAACAAAAAAGTTGTTGTTGAAAAATCAAATTAAAAATGATGACATATTCTAAATTCTATTAATCTAATTGTGCAGTTGTACAACCTTCAGGAAATAAAGAAAATTAATCACATCAGCACAAGAGTTTATACAGTCCACTCTATCGATTAACACAGTGTGACCCATTTATTTTTGCCACCCTGTAAAATCTTTACTTATTGTGCGATTTTAACCATAAAAGAATCAATAAATGCATGGAAGTAAATGGTGGATTGTAGAAGTGACAAGAATATAAATATTTAACTTTTGTCGGTTTCAGTCCATTATTTTATTTTTAAATTTGTCAAAACTAAGATTTATTAATACTTAATTATTACATTACTAGAGTTTAAATAATTTGTTATTTTTTGTTTTTTATTACCAACAATAAATTAATGAAAAAATTTGGCTACAAAATCGTTGTNTCATTACTCGAGTACTTTTCTTCAAACCATCCTATTACTACACGGGTGGCTTGGTGGCAAAGTCTCGTACAATTTTTAATGTATGATAGCATGGTCTTGAGTTACAAAGATTTATTGCTCTATTCTCACTATCATTTTATTGGGGACCACACGCAGGCGGAAGGTGTTGAGCGACCCAGGTCTCTGGTAGGCTGCCACAGCCACGTCCCGAGCCTGCCTTAGGTCACCCATCCAAGTTTCCAGCCTGTGTCCGTGATGCTCACCTCGGCCGATCGAACTCCATCGGCCAAGACACCTATTGTCTCCTCGTGCCCCTCCCCAAACGGCACCCATGTCGATAACTGAATCTCGTTACAAAGTTCCACAGTTCCACATTTGTTTCAAACTAGTTATAAGCTCACCTATGTACTGTTTTTACTTACTTGAATGCCTCCAACGATGTAAGACAGAGAAGTAATGAAGAATTCTAATGGTATTAATGTGAAATTAAGTTGAGCTTTTATCACCAGGTCCGTGGTAACCGTTCTAAAATAAAAGAGATAACATTAGCAAAATATACGAATTAAATCGATGTTTTATGTTAATCCGGCAATCAAAGGTGACCTTATTTTTTCCTGTTTTCTGTTCTAGTCGAAAGAAAATATACCGCGAACAATTAAAATTTGATCAGTATCCGATTTTATTCAAAACGCTTACAAAGTGCAACGGAGATTAGCCTACGCTGTTCAGTTAAAATGAAGTATTGCCGCCTCTGAAAAGTCACTACTGCTAGTTGACTTCACACCTGGCGTGATATGACGGAATGGTACACGGGTAAAAGCAAACTACCACGTTAATTCGGCGAAACCGCGATTTTTGTTTTCAGTGTTCAGTTTACGCGAAGATATTCCTAATAGACCAGGAAAATTAGCGAAAATAAAGAGAAACTCGAAAAAATTCCTATACACGATATTATTGTAAAATTGTCTAAAGGCTACTTTGGCTTAATATGTAAAAAAATTAATTTTTAAATGAACGATAGCTTCATTTATTTATTTAATAATAGTTAAATAATTCCGAAATTCAAATTTTAGTTAATATTTCGTTTAACAATAATTTTTGTGACATTTTTGTAAATTAAAAAAAATTAAGTATAAAAGATGCATTTTTTCTGGGGT